ACATTTGATCTCCTATGACATTTGCTCTCCTATGACATTTGATCTCCTATGACATTTGCTCCCCGAACACACGCTTTCCAATCACATTTGCTCCCCAATTTCACTTGGCCTTAAGCTACGATTTTTTATTGACAAATTCAATATAATTTTTAAAGACTTAAAAATTGGTAAAATTAAGAAAAGAATGAGATGATTAGAAATTCGTGCAGAATTTAAGATTCCTGAAAATTCACGAATTAATTTTAAATATATAGCTAATTTTACTGCAGTTTTATCGGAATTTCGAAAGGTGGTAGTATGGATCTATAAATATATGAAGAGCATAGAACAAATAAAATAGGAAAAGGGTGTGGGTGGGTGTAAATATAGATCTTTCCTTTACTCACATCCACACCCACACCCTCCGGGTTGGGTCCGGGTCCAACATTTTTTAAACAAGCGCGTCCGGTTCCGGGTACAGGTGTAGCAAATTGTAAACGGATTCGAGTCCGGGTTCAAAAATCTTGGACCCGAAGGGCCCTAACCCACACTCACACCCACTCCACTCCACACCCACCTCATATCCATATCCACATCCCACACCCTAGCCACGCCCACACCCACGCCCTAGCCACACCCACATCCACGCCCATTATGTTGAATTTGTCAACCAAAAAGCCGTAGCTTAAGGCCAAGTGAAGTGGGGGAGCAAATGTGATTGGAAAGCATGGACCGGGAAGCAAATGTGATTGGAAAGCATGTGTCCGGGTAGCAAATGTGATTGGAAAGCATGTGTTCGGGGAGCAAATGTCATAGGAGAGCAAATGTCATCAGGGAGCAAGTATCCAGGGAGCAATTGTCATAGGAGAGCAAGTGTTCGGGGAGCAATTGTCCGGGGAGCAATTGTCGTGGGAGCAAGTGTTCCGGGAGCATCATTCGCGTTACCGATTTTAGCAATGCTTGCGGCAGGCTATTTACAAAGTGAAATAGATGAAAAACTTTGAAAAGATACTTGAAATATTTAATTTTTCTGAAAGTTAGTGAACTCTAACCTTAATCAATATCAATCAAATGATTTTCCAACATGGAATTGATCAACGTCGTAAAAGAAACAGTCGTTAGGGACACTAAAAATAGTCTGCTAGGATGTATATGCGAAGTTTATTTAATAAATAAAATCAAAGATATAAAACTTTTGTCAAAAAATTTAGAAGACGAAAAAGTGAAAAACAATCTAAAAACGAATCTGCTAATTTGCTGAAACTAAATTAGTTCTAACTTTTGTGAGTTCATATTCGATACGGTTTCGATCTGTTTTCTTTTTTGTTTCTCTCATTAATTGCCATTATACTAATTGTGAGTGTAAGAGTTTGTGAATGTGTCGAGAATTGTAAATGTACATTATTCTCTTACTGACATCCACACTCTCTATCAAAAATCCATTGAAATTTTGTTTTGGTTTCAAATTTCATCAACAATATCTGTCATCTATCATCAGCTTCAAAAATAAGATTGTCAATAGTTCGTTCATACGATATTTATTCTACTCATATGAACCTAATATATGTTGAATAGAACTGACGAAACTGTACAATGTAACACTTGAAAAGAAAAATCCAATGATTCATTCAACAAGTATTACCTGTGGTTGAAAGAATGTGTGTATATTTCGAATAAATATTGTACTTGCTGAATGAGTCATTGTAATTTTCATTTCATGTATCATAAAGTGTCTGATGATGCTATAAGTAGATATATCGAAAGCTTGCATATTATCTTCAACAAAAGTAAATACTCTTACTGAAGATATGATTTTTATGATCGTGTTTTATTTCTTTCCTGTATCTACGATTACTAATGTCAACCACAAACAGAAATATTTATTAATAGAAAGATAGAGTAGTTCAACACCCACATTCCTCTGCAAGACTTTATTGATGCTCTTGAGCATTTCTCAGATATCTTACTTGATTCATAAGACTTTTTATACTATGCTTGTAAAAATAATCTCAAGGCAAAATAAAACTGTATCATTTAAGGCTATTATTCTTTGCTGTTGTAGTAATAAATTTTGATATTTGAACATAAGGCAATGGACGACAACTTACAAGACCGTATATTAAATTTTGAAACACATAATAAAAGACTGTATGAGTTGAATAAAAGTCATGCCAAACTAAATATTTTTCTATTTTTTTCTTCCATTTGATCAATTCAGCACAGCTTGAAGCAAAACTTCTGATAATAGGGTGTAGGTGTTTAAGCGAAAAGAAGACAGTGGTATACACCCACATCCATAATTAAGTAGAGACAATAGTTACGTATCTTTGATGAATTTATAAATATTGCTTATTTCGTGTAAGTCTCCCTGTCAAAGATGTCTATCATGGCTGAAAACCTGCCGCTATGCTAATAATTCCTCGAGAAGTTATTCAAAAATGTCCTCTGTTACTGTGCTAAATTAACACAAATGAATCGAATCCATTAAATTCACAAGAATTCTGACCGTTAGACTGTTAGACGATCAAATCGAATGCAAACCCATACACTATTACAATATACTTAAAAAAAAAAGATGCTGCCAGCGTCAAGTTTGCGGCGTAGCAGCAGTGCTACCATAGGTATGTTTGGTTCCTATTCATAGAGTGCCTATAAGCTTCTTTTACAAAAAATAATTAACATGAATATCTTGCTATTGTTTCGATAATGATATTTGAATTGTTCTTAAAAAATGTCTTTGCAACAGACATACATACAATAGGCATCTTTAGACGATAATGGATTACAATGATTGATTCTGAACGTATCAATAATGGTAGTTGATATCACAAATATTAAACGTTTTTATTCATCAAGAATAATACAAGTTGTTTAATTCAATAACAACTTAATAGAGATATTCCAATTTTTCAAAAACAAAACATCCTTCAGAAAATGATGTACTTTGATCTAAGTACTGGTTCTTCAAGTTTCTCTTACATTGAATACTTTTCAAATACTTTGTGTTGATAAATGATGCATCTATTCAAATGAATTTTACCTATAGACAGTCAAATCTAAGTGAAAGCTGTATTAATCTAGTTGTTAGGCTACATAATGTAATGAATTCAACTGCATACTATCAAAATACAACCTAAAGATATGCATCGCCACTATTAAATTTTATAACAAAATATCAGTACATACGAAAAACTACAAGTAGCTTTTATGTTTGATTGTGGTTTTGAAGGTCTCTAGTAAATCTTTAGTGTAAAGATATCAACCTACACATGACACTTGTAAAAAAAAGAATACGCTTGAAAAGTATTGTAATTCAGCCATAAAAGTCATATTACGTCGAGCTTAATAGAAAGTTATGATCAACATCTACCTTTCTTACGTTGTATATAAATTATTTTTGTACATCAAAGAGAAAGATTTAGAAAGATAATAATCAATAGATTACGAGCTTTTCATGACAAGTTTATAAGTCCGATGAAAATACCATTGAGATCTTATTCAAGTTTTATAATATCGTATTTTTGTTTATAGCTACCTACGATACGTTAAAGGTAAGTAGTAACCAATTCTAACGAAACCTTGTCCATACGATCTCATTGATTCGGCTGATATATTCAGCATAGATAGATCTTGGAAAATTATAAACAAAATAAGCATTCAGCCTCAAACAAATTCATTCGTTCTGAAAAACAGACATTTCAACTATAGATAATTTAATAAAATTCAAATACTTTGCAAAGCATTAGTTTTCAGTAAAGTTTCGTTTTCTAAAGAACATAAAAGATTTATAACGAGGAATTTTTTTAGACAACAAATGTTATTGATCATGGGCTGTATTTTTATGGTATTTAAAGTGTCTTATCGTCTGACATTTTTTTTATTGTTATTATGTGCCATTTCTAGAATTCATGACTAGGCTGAAAAGGCAATCTCTCCGGATGAGTGTAATGAATTAAACTTGGAGAGGCTGCATGAAAGTCCATCGATTTCTCGTTTTAAAAATTTCTGAAATAGTTGTTTCGCACACTAGATTTATTGAACAGCAGCAAAAAAAGAAGATTGATGATATTGATACTAAGCTGGAGCTGGAAAACTAGTCTGATCTTGGATACAGGAGTACAACACTTGCATTCAGTGGTCAGATGCACTCGAATCTGGATAGATCTCTCCAATAATGGTAAAGTCAACCGCTGAATCCAAACATCATATTTCTGTGTCCAATATCTGACTATTTTTTTCTAGTGCTCCGGTCGAAATGAGCAAGTACGCTTTCATTTTGAACAATTCTAACTACAGTGTTATTTAGATGAAAGACAAAATTGAGAAACCAGTAAACCCAAGACTTTATTTCATTTTGATATGCTTGTTAAGAAGCAAACAATATACTTTTCAGATCATTTTTGATGATATTCAATTCACCCAGTTTTTCACATATCAGTATGTCAGAATAAGAGTAACTAAAATATCTAAGACTTCTACCAGAAATCTTTTAAAGAATACGAAAAAGTTACTATTTCCGACAAAATCGAATTTTCCTACAAGAGTTACCTTGGAAAAGCATATAAAAACTGAGGTGAGTTGAATAGTTATCCTAAAATATTTGCAAAAGTATCTCTGTAAACTTGTTTTCAAAGAAATGTCGAGATAAGCTGAAATTTCTGATTTAGAGGCTTCTCAATATGAACTTTTATATGAATTTCGAAAATGAATAATTCGTTTGAGGTTAAGTTCTTATTTTCTTGTTACTTTTGCTTAATTTATCTACCATAAATATATAAGACAAATTGATGAGATCTTATGGGAAAGGTTCTATTGAGATTGATAGTGACTTACGCGCCATACCTACCAGTACTTCATATGTTCTCGTAATTGTTCTAGATAAACCAAGCTGACTCGTTCAACTTGCAAAGCATCGTACAACGACAATATATAACGATTGCTCTTTTTCATAATTTTTAGATATTTAAACAATTTTCAAACAGTCATGCAACTTTTGGGAGGCATTATAAGTAAGTAATAGTATGAATTCAATCTATTGCAAAGGTTTTCGTTTAGTTTTACTTTTTACATTCTGCCCATGCTTCTGTCTGACATCACTTTACCATTGTAATTTTGATACACAAACATCAAGTAATTGTCTATTGAAGAAAACATTAGATGCACCAACTCTAATTCATGCAACTGGTTCACTTCAAGACGAAATACCTACCCAGACATTAACTGATAATACATCTATTCGTAAGTGTTTGACAATACCTAACATTTGTGCAATAAATGATGAATCTAATTATTAAGCTTTTCAGTCAAAAGACACCTATATGAGATAAATGCTAATTATCTTTGAATTGAACAATTGTTTTTTTAGTGACATATGCGTTTGTTAAAACACCTCGTGTTGGTGCATTTGATCATACTTATTCAGCATTAGTGAAAAAAGGAGAAAATAGTATGCAATGTCTCGATTTTTATTACTATATCACTGACAGTTCACACAATGCCAAAATCGGTGTTGAGTTGGACATTGGTTCAACAAGACAACCAATTATAGAGTTGATAGCAACACCCAATAGCAAATGGCAACATTGTCAACATTCATATAGTCGGCCATCATCAAGTACCTATCATGTAAGTAAAACATTTTGGTGATATCAGTCAATGAACACTTTCTATCCGCATAAACTAGTGCCAAAGTCAATGCTTTAAAAAAAAGCATATAGTAGAAACAGATTCACTTCAATAATGATCTGTAAAGACTTAATGCATATTTTACGAGTCGATGGTGCTCCAAAAAAACTTTTCTCGAAGTTTTTTTTCTGAAAAACTCTTGAAATTTGTTATGACTTCTTTCTATGAGCTGCGATGTTTTTTTGCTCTTCAGATTTTGTTTAAACTACACCGTAACGATGGAAACACAAATTTTTATTATGCCTTCGCCGAACTCAACATATTTGATGGACCTTGCGGTATATCACTAGACCTAAGCTCCATTGACATCATTGATTTCGATTCTGTTTTGTATATATCTAGCAGCTACGAATACCAAAAACGTTCCAGAAGAGTACGTATTAGACGCAACAAGTAGCGGTACATCGAATACAAATAACCCCACAATGGATACAATTATCACTACAACTGATATAAGTAGTATCACGACCGATACAAGTAGTATCACGACCGATACAAGTA